TTTTTGTTTATCAATTATTTTCATATTACGGTTATTATAACTTGGGATTAGCTAATAATATGTGGGTTGTGTGTTGGTGTACATGTGGGAAGAGACACTGTTAATCGTGTCTTACATGAGCATGTATTTTAAAAGATACACTGTTAATCCTAGTATCCTTACTTTTTTAAAGTGTGTTGGTGTGATTGACTTCAAATGAAGTGTTTTAGGGATGATCAAGTCAAATCAGCAAACCAACGTATTTATTTGCACGACACATCAAATGAATTTTGCGTTACACTTATTTTCATTTATGCTTATCAACAACATTAATAAGTTGACACAAACCAAAGAAACTTCAGTTACATCCATGATATTTCCACCACTCCAAGCTTTACAGTCGCTCCTATTCTAAAACTCTTTAACTTTACAGACACATATATATTCAAAATCAGTGGCAATTATTTCTAGCGCTTCCATCTGAAGCACAATTGATATTAACCCATATTAGAGAACAATTGATCACCGGTCTACCAACCATTGCAAGTTTGATCTTATCTCTAAAATCATAGATAGTTTAGTAAATTAGTTTTGTCATACACCAAATCTTGGCAACATATTTGTTCAATCGTACTGAGCATATCTCTTTAAATAACCATCTCTCTATCTCTATCTCTATCTCTCTCTATCTTGGCATTAACCACTGGTTTGAAAAATGATAGAAGGTTAATAAGAAGTTGAAGGGGCTGTCTACCATAGAAAGTGAGAGTCAGATCCGTAATCTTACCTCACTCAACCACATCAGAGAAGCATTTGAATACCTAAAAGGCCATCCTTCCTAATTTCGTCTCCCTTTGAATATGGGAGGTAAATGCTATCTCAAGAAGCATGTCGGTGGAATCTGTAGGTAGAGAGTTAGAGGCCCTTTACCTAGTTTTCACAAACAATACCAATCCTTATCACAACACCAAAAATTATATTTGTATAGATCGTGAGTTCAAATTGTAAACTTAACACAAATAAAATCGACGTTCTTACATTGTTATTGAATCAACTTCCTTTTTTATTGAACGATGTCGATTAGATGGCCTCTGATGCTCTCTTCCATCAATTTAGATGGTGATGAAAACAGATTTGGATAATTTTGAAACTGAGTTTTTGTGGAACGATGACACTGAAATAAATTTAAAGAATTCTATTGGAATATATAAGAAGGCTAACTAAAGGGGAAGATTGATGGTCAATTAGAATCTAAGGAATTCCAAAAGTTCAATAGTAGATTTCAGGGAAGACGATTAGTTAGACCTAAGGACGTTTAGATTTTACTTTTTTTTTTTATAATATATATTCATGGGCTTAGAATCAGGTCCATAAACAAATAAATAAACATTGAATTGATTAGTCGGTGGCTTCTTTATTGACGTGAGAAGTTTGCTGATGTGGCTTTCTCTAAGATGTGTTTTAGTTTGCTTATGTGGATAGGTTGAGAAGCTTCAATTAGTCTCTTTTATTAGTAAGAGATTTGAGAGAGTCTCATGGTGAGAGCTCTCCATTGAAAATCGAAATATATATATATATATATATATATATATATTTTCTTTATACTAAAAAGAACATTGTATCTCTCGTTACACTCAATAACCCAATTTCCAATGGCAACATCAAACCACACTGCCACACATGTTCCAGAGGGCATAGTTACAGAGATACTAACGAAGTTACCGTTGAGAACATCTCCAGGTTCAAATCGGTGAGTAAAACATGGAAATCTATATATTTTCATCATCTCTTTGTGCCTGTGCACCAACACACTTCTTCATGTTGGTCGCTCCTGCACCGACAAAAAGAACCCATAGACTTCCATGATCCAAGCAGGTCAGTTTATATGTCTCATATTATCAAGTAAAGTTACACAACATGGTTTGCAAAGTTAGTAACAAACGTGATCATTACACGTGTCAAACCTATCGATATGAGATTTTACCATATGTCAAATATATATTTTCTTTTTAATAGCTAGAAAAGAAAAAATATAATAATAAGGAAATTATAAATTTAAAAAGTTTTAAATGTCAATAAATAATTATAAGAAAATTACATTTTATATTTCCATAAAAAAATAATATCATTTAATAAAAATAGCATGTCATACTAGGAATAGCATATGATTGTTATGAAGATTGTTATGAAAGTGACGATGGTGGTGGTTGATGGTTACGGAGGTGGTGATAGGGTTAATTTTTACGGAGGTGGTGATAGGGTAATTTTTAAAATAACATGAATCATGTAAAAATTATTTATCAGAAGTATATCATGTCATTTATAAAAAAAAAACTTTGAATCGTAATGGTTTTCTGAAAATGTGATGTGTTATTCAGATTCAAGGAATATTTAACGTTGGAGATAAATTAAGAATTATGAACGGCGATGGATATAGACTAGAGTTGTTGACAGAGAAGCTTGGTCCGATGTCTGAGAAGATAAAGAATGTGGAGAAATAAGACCAGTTAAGGGAAAAGAAGAAGAGGCGGTAACAGTGGTGTTGGTGTTGACGACGGTGGTTCAAGTTTGGTGGTTGTGGCGATAAATGTTGATGAAGGTGGTGAGTCAGAATTAGAGTGATTCGGTATTGATGGTGGTGGTTATTGTGGTACTAGTGAGATTCTGTTGTGCTGGTGAGTCAGAGTAGTGAGATTCGGTGGTGATGCCCGACGAAGGAGAAAAATGGAGATAGAGAAAAAAAAAGATATGATGGTGAAAAATCCGACGAGAGGGAGTAAAAGAGAAAGAAATAGGAGATCCAGCAAAAATAAGAGAAATCTAACGAGAAATAGAGAGATATTTGAGACTTTCTCGCCGGCGAGAGAACGGAAAGAAGAGAGAAAGAAGAAGAAATGGGTATTATGAACCAAAAACTGACAAAAAACATATAGCAAATAGACATTGTTTAGTCAAATGTTACTTTAATTTCTTAAATCTTTTTTAGTCTTACGTTTTTTTGCATATTCCCTAATTCCTTATAATGTTATATCTTTATTTTGAAGATGTCTCATATTATCAAGTAAAGCTAAATGACATGAAAATAAACCGTCTCATGTTTTCTCTTTTCTTATTGTCACAATTTTATTATGACGCCACGTTTTCTAAAAAATTCAAATGTTTACGTAACTCATACCATATGCTTACATATTATGCATATATCATTCATATGTTTACATAACTATATAAGTTTATTTATTTTTATTGTCACAATTTTGTTTCTATCTTGCCTAAATTAAAATTATAAGGTGTAACATACTCTTCTGATGGGTGTAAGTAATTAATTAAAATTCAATAATACAACATATGAACATTTATCAATATCATAATTCCTGGTTTAGTTATTATACTAAGAGAGAAATAGATAAATTTTGGTAATTCTGATTTCTGGTTTAATTTAAGTGAACCGAAAATAAACCTAAGTATATATATACCCTAAAAATCGCAGAAGCTCTAGTTCTTTCTCATAATTTATGTGTCCACCTTCAAGGAAAGAAAGAGAGAGACTGATTGTGGCTGAAAGAAATTTTATGGAATTGTACCTAAGCCTTAGACCTAGATATACCACTTTGCAGATTTCGAATAAGTTAATATTCTAAGTGTTATCCGCTTTTTTGTGAGGTGCTCTATTTCAGATGCGATTTGGACCAACATGGATTAAAAAAGAGATCGCCAGTTCATCTACGGTCGGATGATCATGAATCTTTGTGGGTAGATTCATGACATCTAGGGGTTATGTATCAACGATGTAGATTGAAAGGGGACGGTTAGATTTAGATTCGTGTTTGAATCTTTGAAGCTGTTCATTTCTGTTATTTTTGAGTCATGAATCTAAATTTCACCGTCCACTTTCAATCTGCACCGTTGAAACTGAACCCTAGATGTCCAGAAGCCACCCTCATATTTTCGTGATGATCCGACCGTAGATAAACTCATAACCTCTCTTTAAATCTATATTGGTCCAAATCGCGTGTGAAACAGAGCACCTCATGAGAAAGCGGATAAATTTTAGAATAGTAACTCAAATCCAAATCCGCGAAGTGGTACGTCTAGGTCTAAGGCTTAGCTAAAACTCCATACAATCTTCTTACCAAAAAAGGTGATTTGATATATCAAACCTCTGCTCTACCACGACGTATCTGATCTGTCTGCAACAAGCTTTTTTCTCTCTTTCAGCCACAATCAGCCTCTCTCTTTCTTTCCTTATGGTGGCCACGAAACTTATGAGAAAGAAAAAAGGCATATGCGATTTTTAGGGTATAAATAGACTTAGGTTTATTTTCGATCCACTTAAATTAAATCAAGAGTTCAAATTACTAAAATTAATTAATTTTTCCCTTGGTTGAATAATAAACCGACCAGCTTATTAATCCAACTGAAATTAAATCGACTCTTCTCCAAATTCCGACATAAAACTCAAATATCCGTTTTCCAGAACACGGACGTTACAATAGTTTTATTTAGAAGCAGCTTAAGTGACTAAAACTTTTAAGAGATCCACTGGTGCCGCCAAAAAAGAAGTAACCATCCATTTTTTATTTCTACTGTTAGTTGCTGACTCTTGCCCGCATGACCAAAATTTTTGAGGATTTTATCTCCCCTTTCCTTTATAGTTGGTGTCGCCAATTTGCGGACACCCTAATTTATCATATTTAGACTAATAATGAAACTGAATTCCCTAATGCCAACTTGCATAAAGATTCGACCACATTTCTCGTAAATGCATGAGATTATAAAGGGGCTTATGATCCCAACGACAGAATATATGAGAAAATCCTTAATTTGTTATTCTTGGGTTTTCCTATTAGACAAATATCTCGACCAATCCACGGCTAGTAGCTTGATTTTTGTATTGGAGAACTTCAAAAGGAAGAGTTTCTCAAGATCAAGAGTTCGGATCTCAGCAGTGGGAACATGATTGATTTAGGCTGTCTTTGTTTCTAGTTCAAAATACTTATGTATCAAAACCCCAAAAATTTTGGTTTACCAAAACTAAAATCTGAATTATAGAACTGGCACCACATAAGAACTTGAGGTAACAAACTTAACATTTTCTTGATTAGTTATAACTCATCATAATTATAACTCAATTTGAGGTGCCATTGCCTTTTTCAATTTCAACTCATCATAATTAGGTGGTATATATATATTGGTCCAAAACAACCAGAAATAAAAGAAAGAAATTATCCAAAAAAAAAATTATATAAAAAAGATATATAATAACACATACTTGCATTACATATAGGTCTTCATAATTATCGACACCCAAAGAATCAACACATCATTCTTATTTTGTATAATTAAACTCTCAAATAGAAAAGAAAATTAATCAAGGTGATATCTTGGACCGAAAGGTTACTTTGGATGAGGAACACTTAACGGAAACAAGAGGCTGATAATTTACAAACCGGCTCGGAGCTGATCTTGGTCGGAACCCTTTAGGCATACAACTCTTTACGTGTGTCCCATGGAAAATCTGATTCCTCGGATTCATTTTGACAGTGTCTTCGACCGATAAAGGCATCATAGACGAGCTTGGAACACTCTCCAGTGGTATTAATCGCCCTCCCGCGTACAAGAATATAAGGTTTAAAGTGATGATGACAATATGCAATCTTCTGTTGAACATTGGGACGTTTTATATATTGAAGTGATTATTTTTGTTTCTTGAGAGAGAGTTTTGGTATGATAATGTGAGGGATATATAAGTGGGAGGAGATATACATTGGATTAGGGTTAAGGTTCATAAATGGGCTCGTGAGTGATGGCTGGAAACAAAAGAGAGGAGAGTAAGTAGGAGAGGACAGAGGCAAAATGGCTGGAAAATTGTATTAATCAAAATACGATTTTATATGTGTGATAGAGAAACAAAAAAGTGTTGATGGGGTCGGGAAGATCAGAAAGAGGTAGGGAAGTCCGTGAGTATCTGAAATTACAATCAAAGATCAAACATTTGTCTTCGCATTTATGAATTATGACACACTCACACGCACTTGTCTATATTTCAAACTATTGGTTTCTCTTGTTTTAAAATGGTTTTAAGATTGGCCATGATTTTAAAAATTAAGAATAGATATATTATTAGATATATTAATAAGATTGGCCATTATATCCACGGTTGCATGATTTCTGGACTAGGTTGAAACTGTTTGGACTAGGTTGAAACTGTTTTGGATAACGGAAACACGATGAATCTGTCTTTAACCATTTTTTGTTTGACAATATATATATATATATATTCTAGGGAGACTCACAAAAATGCCCCTTTTTCAATACCCTTTTCAAAAATGCCCCCTTTGGCTGTCCATTTTTAAAAATACCCCTTTTTATGTACAAAATGACTAAATTACCCTTCTTTTAATAAAAGATATTACAAATATATAAGGAAATATAACAAAATTAGGTTCATAAAATACAAAATATTTTTGGCGGGAAAAGTGATCCCACAATTTTTCCCGCCAAAAACACTTGTAAAAACTTGTAAAACCTTTAAAATACCTTGTAAAATTTTCCCGTAAAATTTTTTCCCGCCAAAAAATTTTCCCGCCAAAATTTTTTTTTGCGGGAAAAGTGATTCCGCAATTTTTTTGGCGTTAAATTTTTGGCGGGAAAAATTTACAAGGAATTTTAAAGGTTTTTTACAAGGTATTTATAAGGTTTTACAATGTATTTTAAAAGGTTTTACAACGTATTTATAAGGTATTTATAAGATATTATAAGATTTTACAAGCTATTTTATAAGGTTTTACAAGTTATAAGATTTTACAAGTTTTTTATAAGGTTTTACAAGTTGTAAATACTTTATAAAACCTTATAAGTACCTTGTAAAACCTTTTAAAATACATTGTAAAACTTTACAAAACACTTGTAAATACTTTGTAAAACCTTTAAAATACCTTGTAAATTTTTCCCGCCAAAAATTTTCCCGCCAAAAAAATTGCGGAATAACTTTTCCCGCAAAAAAAAATTTTTGGCGGGAAAATTTTTTGGCGGGAAAAATTTTTACAAGGTATTTTAAAGGTTTTTACAAGTGTTTTGGCGGGAAAATTGGGGGATCACTTTTCCCACCAAAAAATATTTTATATTTTGTGGACCTAATTTTGTTTCAAATAAGGGTAAAATGGTCATTAAAAATTAAAAGAGGGCAAACTTAAAAATGGACTCTCAAAGGGGGCATTTTTGAAAAGGGGTATTGAAAAAGGGGCATTTTTAACAATTTCTCTAGATTCTATTATAATAAATCACAAGTCACTTCTCTAAAAACTGCAGTTCTCTCCATCTGACACGTGTCTTAGGTCTCAAATTCACTCCTTTACTTTTCTAAACATTTTATGACGAAAAAATTCTATTATAATAAATCACAAGTCACTTCTCTAAAAACTGCAGTTCTCTCCATCTGACACGTGTCTTAGGTCTCAAATTCACTCCTTTACTTTTCTAAACATTTTATGACGAAAAAAATAAGAAAAGAAAAAAAAAAATCACTTAAATTTATCAACTGCTCTATCCACTTCCCACGATCCCAATTTTATAGGAAAACCTCAACATATTTTTTTATATTCTATTTTCCTATAACCACTCTCTCACCGTGCGAAGCACAGGACACAACACTAGTAAAAGAATAAAAGAATAAAAAATAATACACTGAAATGAAAACATATATCTAATTATGAATCCATTCGTGTAGGATTTAGACTAAAGTTTATACATACGTTTTATCAGAGTGGATCTTATTGGTAACCAAAAGTTGTAATAAGTTTTTTAGTTGTTAGCTGAAGCTGTAAACTTTATCGGAATAGTGCAAAACCGTAAGAAATAGCTGTACAAAAAAAGCTATTTAAAAAAGTTAATAACGCTTTTGATAAAGTTTTGGTGATTGGTAACAGTCAAAGCTGTACACGATGTACCGTTTTGATAATGGATTACCATTCAAAACCATTAATAGTTTATAAATACTTTCCATCCTTTATGTGGTTAATGATCTAAAGTACTCATCTTATATTTGGATATAAAAATAATGAACTTAATAATATATATACACACACATGTGGTCCAGAAGTTTATAAAAACTCTTCCTCTTTTTTTTTTTCTTTTTTCCGTCTAAGTGATATAATTCATGATAAAAGATATAATAACGGCGATCCAAGAAATGATCCCGAAATCTAAGCACTAGACGAAACTGAGAACTAAGCCGACGGATAACAAGACATCTTCGGAAGCTAACGGCCAAAAAAAGAAAACTATTGAAATACAAAGAGAGCAACACAAAGAAAAAGTTCAAAACTAAGACAAGAGAAACACAATAAATAAAACCAGAACCTAACACAAGCTATAAAAAGCTATAAAAAACTCTTCCTATATATATATATTTATATGTATATATATGATCAACAATATATACACAAGATTGCCATTATGTATTAAAGCATAAACAATCCACAAACTATAATTTAAAACATATAAGATCGATCAAGCCTTAGTTATATCAGTCATAAATAAAATTTTAAGCGTCTATTTTGAGAGTTTTCTCGCACATCATTAAGAAATATCACGATAAAGAAAAAATTTAATCAGCCAATGAACTCATACATTTTTCTCTTTAGTAGAAGAAAATTATAATACACATAAAAAATTTGAAATGAATATTAATGAAATACTATAAATTGTAACATATGAAAAATATAAAATATACCAAAAACATTAGAAAAATATTCATCGAGTATCTAGGTTCTAGTGCTTAAATAATGTTAAGTTAGCCAGTCTTTGATCGCAATGTCCAAACTTGAGAAAGAATAGTATAACCGAAAAAAAGAAAAAAAGAATCTCTAGCCAAGAAAAAGATAAAGGAAAGAAGAGCATGAGAGTATAAAAGAAAACTCGACCTAGAACTAGTTATGTGTCGGTTGAGGTCTTACACATTCTTCCAAATACTCTCGGACGAAAAAACTAACAAATAAAATCAATGGCAAAAATTATGCTTGAAAATGACCAACAATCTTGCCACACAGCACGACGTCAAAGTTCTCTTGACTCAGAGCAGAGAACGACTCTCGCTTTTTAAGAAAAATCGTTATCTTATATTTTCGGCAATCTGAGAGAGATGACTTATCATTGTCACCACCGTCATCATTCATAGAATCCCCAAAAATAGCTACATGTTGTAACAAAAATGCAACCGGTGTTGCGACTATTGAGATACCAAGGATAAGAAGATGAAGCTGGAAGAAACCAAACCCTCAACTACCACATAAAGGTAGCCGAGAAAAACATGCATATATCATTTGAAACTTGATATTATGGATTTAATAAATTAATACAGAATTTAAGAGATATCTTTCCCTAAAACAAATATTAAAAATGAATTTCCAAAAATACTTAAAGAGATATATTTCCCTAAAACAAATATTAAAAATGAATTTCCAAAAATACTTAAAATGTTTTAGGTTATTTTAAATTAGTATTAAGAATTAAATATTTTAGTGATATATCAATATATTAAATTCATAAAGTAAATTTTCAAGTAAGAACAAAAAATCATACAGAATTAATTTTTACAAATTTATTTTATTTAAATGTTACATAATTGTTACCACAATTATCTCGTATATTGGAATTAAGAAAAATGAAAAGAAGGTTTCACAAAAAAAAAAAAAAAGAAAAAAAAGGTAGTAGTACAAAACTGAAACTCTTATTGGGAATCAAATATTTTATTGGGAAAAAAAAGAAAGTAAAAGAGTAAAATAGTTTCCGTAAGAAGAAAAAATGTTTTCAGAGGAAAGAAAATATTTTCTCAGGATAGCAAAATTTGATGAGCCAATAAGCAAAACAAAAGCTGATGCTTGTCGCAACTGTGTTCGTCAAGAATCTCAGCACGAACCCAATCTTCTTCTCTCCAAGCTGTATTAATCAATCAATCATTCATTCTAGGTTAAGTAAAAACAGAGTAAACCCTTTTTTCTCTCTTTCTCAATTTCGTTTCGTCTCCTTCCTTGTTCCAATTCCTCTGTTTGATTCTATACGAAATTTCCGTTGATATCGAATACCCATGATTCAAAATTTCATCTTTTAGGCGAATGATTCCTCAATTTTGATTTTCCGGTGATTTCTAGGGTTTTTTTTTTGTGAGGTGGGTGTTTTTGTATTATCTTCTTTTGAGTCTTCTTCATTAATGATTTCGCAGATTTGTGTAGACTTTCATTGCTGCTACGTTTTTGAAAGGGTGATTTGAAGGGCTTAGCTTCAAAAAGGTGAGAATTTTAACTCCAGATTCTGATATTTTGTTCATTGTTATGTATCTTTAAGCTTCGTAGTTGTGTTTTAAGTTTGTTCAATTTGGTTGCTAAGTGTATGTTTTTCATCAGATTGGGTCATTATAGTTCTTTCATTCTCTATTGATTGATATCTCCACTTGATTTGTTGGGATTTTATTCTCTGGGTTTAGGATTTAGGGTTCTCAAATTTTGGATTCTCTTTAAGCATTGAGTGCCTGTTTTCTTCAACATCACTTGATAGGAAGAACATGGAATATGGTAAGCTGAATAACTTCTTGGGGCTTAGTTTCTCGTGCAAGGAAATTCTTCATGGTTCTGTCTTGGAAATGTATGGAACCTTGAAGCTTGATAGATGGGGTTTTCTTATAGGTTTAAAGGGTCTTTAGCTGAGATATCATTCCTATGATGTGTGTTGGTACATTAGTAAGATAAAACCGTGCAATGAGTTCATTAATGGTTAAATCCTATATATTTTGTGTTTACACAGAGAAGAATTAGCTGTGGAATTGGAATGTGTTCCAACTTGTCTCTGTTGTGATAATGATCAATATGTTTTCAATTCTAAGTTTCTAACTCTTGTGGTCCATTGATTCTTGAATCCTTTGTCCAGGTTAGTACTTTCTTCGAAGAAGGGACGGTTAGAATATGCCAAATACATTCTCTGGTTCAACTTTCTTAAAACTGTCTGCATCTTTGGATCCTTAGATTTGTCTTCCGGTTCCGGAATTATTTGACTATAGATACCGATTTGACAGAAGTCTTACATTTCACACAAATAAGAGTTTGCCTTATAACATTGTTTCCACATCATTTCTGCTTCAGTGATTTTTTTTTAATCTAGCTTCAAGATTCAAACATAGTTTTTGATCTATCACTGGTTTGAATGGCACTTAAGCTGTGCGTGACGTACATTAGTTTTGATGGGTTTTTTCGCATGCTATGGCGGTTAAGTTATGTTTATATTATGTTTCAGGTACTAAGGTTGCAATCTTATCCAAGATGAATAGTCAAAATCCTGATGATCATGTAAGCCAGCTAAAACAACTCTTCGTCTTGAACCAACAAACCAAGTAATTTCCAGTCTCCCTCGCTTGAATTTTCATCTTTTATCTTCTTCTTAAACTTAGGAGGACACAACGGTTGTGGGATTTGAAGTACCTGTATCGCCAGTTTCAAGTTACAACAATGTGTATTCCGCAACTGAAGATGAGACAAGAGATCCTCCAGCAGTACCGCCACACCTTCAACACTCTCTATTAGGCAATCCGGGTAGCATGGAACTGGCTTATGCGCCACAAAATGTCGTCCTGAACCACCTCTATATCGAAAACCGAGACGCCCCAAGATCCGTTGTAGCACTCGGTTTTTCGCATCGGTTCAGGTCTAAGTTTGTCACAGTGGTGATATACAAGCCTGTCCAAAGAAGAGGGAACGCCAATGTTTGAATGATGATGCCTCTTTTTAAGTAGTGTTGGGAACTTGCTTCTTTATGGATTGAACTTGGTATACAAAACCATCTACTCCAGACTGAATTTTCTTCTTCTCTTACCGATTCGGTTTAGACGGTTTCTAGGTAATTCGATTGAAATCAAATCATCATCTTGTTCGAAGGTTATATAAAATCTACATGCATTTTTAGGGCCAAGAAAGCTGATAGACTTGGGCATTGTTTGTTTGTTTGTAATAACTCCCTTTGGTTTAACGAGCCCAAATATCAGTATTGAAGTTCTGTACTTGCTCATATTTAAATGTTCCATAAATTATTTAAATCTTTCAAAACTTCTATGTACGATAAGTAACAAATGTCTCTAAAATTGGGATTGAAATGGTTTTTGTTGGTCATTGGATCATTGCAACTATGTTTGAATGTAACTAATGAGTTATGGATATTAAAAGCTATGCTTGTGATAAGATAGTCTTACTCTTTAAACCATTCCGCCGGTATTGGAAAAATTATTTGTTTTTTGTTTTTTTGTTTTTTTTTTATATATCTTACAACAATCATAAAATATTTTAAGTTGACGATATTATATATATGAAACTAACACTAATATTCTAAAAAGTTATCAACCATATATTATGAATTATATCATTTAGAAACAAAACAAAATAATAAATAAAGAATTAAATGCAAGCCTTTCGGTTTTACATCTGTTATTTGCAGATGATAGTTTATTTTTTTGCAAGTCTAACAAGGAACAATGTTGGGTAATTTTGGAGATTTTGAAGAAGTATAAAGCGGTCTCGGAACAACAAATTAATTTTTTAAAATCTTCGATTCAGTTTGGACATAAGGTAGATAATGATATCAAGGAAGAAATCAAATCTACCTTGGGTATCACTAATATTAGTGGTATGGGTTCTTATCTCTTTTGTTAGAGATAGATTACAAACAATAATTAACGGATGGTCGGCAAAATTTTTATCGAAAGATGGGAAATAAGTGATGATTAAATCGGTAGCTGCAGCATTACCAACTTATGTTATGTCATGCTTCAGACTGCCAAAAACAATCACTTCTAAACTTACTAGTGCGGTTTCTAATTTCTGGTGGAGTTCAAATGGTGATTTCAGAGGTATGCACTGGATGGCATGAAATAAATTGTGTAATAGTAAATCAGAAGGAGGAATAGGATTTCAGAATGTAGACGATTTTAATTCAGCCTTATTAGCAAAACAATTATGGCGGTTGATTAAGGTTTTTAAAGGACGGTATTTTCGAAAATCCAATCCTTTGGAAAATATAAAATCATACTCCCCATCATATAGATGGCGGAGTATATTTTCAGCTAGATCTTTGGTTAATAAATGATTTATTAAAAGAGTCGGATCTGGGACATCCATCTCAGTTTGGGAGGATCCCTGGATTCCAGCTCAATTCCCGAGACCAGCAAAAAGTAATGGTTCAGTTGTTGACCCATCTTTAAAAGTTCACAATCTTATAGATAGTCGGTCAAACTTTTGGAATATTGATCTCTTACAGACGATCTTTGATCCAGAAGATGTCGCGCTAATAAGTGCCCTACCTGTGGGTGCGCCAACTAAAGAAGATACTCTAGGTTGACATTTTATAAAATCCGGAAAATATACAGTCAAATCGGGATATCATACCACACGGATAGAAAAATCGGAGACCAATTTATCTTTTATTGGCCCAGACATCAAACCGCTATAAGCATACTCTTGGGAAGTGCAGTGTCCACCTAAGGTACGCCATTTCTTGTAGCAAATCTTAACGGGTTGTGTACCGGTTACGGAGAATTTGCGAAAAAAAGAATTGATTGTAACACAGGATGTGCCAGATATGGCGCATCAGAAGAAACGATCAATCATACACTCTTTCAATGTCATCCGACAAGACAAAGCGCTTTCACAGATTCCAACGGCTATGGAGAATTTTCCACAGAATCTATTTTGCGAATTTGGATCACTTATTTTGGAAGATACCTTCGGAGTTCGATTCTTCAGCTTTTCCATGGATCATCTGGTATATTTGGAAAATAAGAAATGAAAAAATCTTTGAAAATATAGACAAAGACCCGTTAGAGATATTACGGTTCAAGAAAAAAGAGCCACAATTTTGGCAGTCAGCTGAAATCGAGCTTCATAATAAAAATCATGGTTTTGTGGATTTGGTAACTCGATCTCGAGTGAGGGATGTTTCACTTGATTCGAATTATTCTGGATATCATTGTTTTGTGGATGGATCGTGGAAAGAAAGTGATAAGTTCTCCGGTACTGGGTAGTTCTGTACATCATCAAATGGAGAGTCGCCAACCATGAGAGCTGCCAACCTCCGTAGAAGTCTCTCTCCACTACATAGAGAAGTCGAGGCCCTTCTCTGGGTGATGAAGTGTATGATTGGTGCATTTAACCAAGAGATGGCGTTCTTTACAAATTGTTCTGATATGGTGAAGATGGTGTCTTCTCCAACCGAATGGCCGACGTTTTCAGTATATTTGGAGGAATTTCATAGCGACAATGAACAATTCTCAACTTTCTCTTTATCTTTAATTTCTCGTAGTGCTAATGTTAAAACGGATAATCTGGCATGAAAAATTTGTACAGAACCGCTTCATATCACATATGTAAACAACATTCCCCAAAAATGGTTCTTTTGAGCTCTAAGTAGTTTCAGATGACAAAAAAAATAAATAAAAAAAATTGTATTTGGATTGGACATTGCTTAGCTAATATTTTTTTAACCATATTTTAACTTAAATAAAAAAACTGAGTTTATAGAAACCATAACTAAAACCAAATTCGAATATATAAGAAAAACTCAAAATTTAACAAATAAATTATAATGGAAAAACCAAATATGGGAAAAGAGCTTATGGTCTAGTGGCGAACCTAAATCCCATCCAAAGGATTGTGTGACCTAAGTGACTAAGTCTCCTTGTTCAATACATTGGAGAGGGGAGGAGATTAATTTATCCGTTTTGATCCACGGCACACGAAGATATACGGATTTCAACCCCGAAATTCGCGAATCTCGATATATATATATATATAATCTGATTACGTTGTCCGTTTTTAAATTTTGTAAAGTTATTCGTATTTGTCTAGTTTTACTAGGTTTAGATAGATAAATAAAAATATGGTTTGAAAGGTATACTTGCATTGGATTATTGTCTGGGTTTTGGGTACACCGGTCAAAACTTAACAACACATCCAATAAAGATTTTGACCTTAAAACAACTTCTTTTTTTTGAACTGTCTGGCTGGTAAAAGTTATTATGCGAATGTCTAAATCTATTTTTGAATGCGGTTTAAAATCTTATAGAACTAGATTGTAACTTCAAAATGATTCTTGAACACGAGTGTGACTCGCCAAGTGCATACCAAATTTCAGATCATGTCATATATATGTGATATGTCCAACTCCAAACTTGAAATTTAAGCCACACTTATTTTCTCAAAATTTGTACAAAACTATGATTTACTAAAATTGGATTCTCTGGCTATTTTTGGTATAGCTATGCTACGGTTAGTACAATGTTATTATGCATTCTCTGCTAAAAGTAAAAAACAGCTATCTTGTCAAAACAAAAATGAAAAAATTTCTTAACCAACACACGAAATAGATAAATGCTATCAAATCAACATATATCGCTATTAAATCATATATCGTAGGTCCATAATCTTTCTTTTCTTAACTCATATGAGTCTTTTTTAATTCAATAATTTTGTCGTGTTCATTGTCTTTTTCCACTAAATCCTAGTTTTTGTAGTCTTCTCTTCTGCAATATTTTTTAAAAACAAGTTATAGTTTTGGAAATTTGAACTCTAAAATATAGAATAAGTCTTAAAAAGTGGCATATATCTTGTGCACCTTAAAAACTGACACTAAATTACTCGATCTAGTGTAACTTTTTCATATGAGATTTGGATTGGATCACTGTTTGAGTTATGGGTACACGGGTCAAAATTTAACAACACATCCAATAAAGATTTCATCCCGAAAAAACTTCTTTTTTTGAACTGTGTGGCCGGTAGAAGTTGTTATGCGAATGTCTAAATCATTTTTTGAAATACGGTTTAAAATCTCGGAGATCGTGGTTGGTTTTTTGAAGACAGGTAGAAGTGATTCTCATCCGCTGTCATTCCTAGTACGTTTGTGCTATGACTTCATTTCGAGGGACTGGATAGTCCGAATATCTCACATATATAGAGAGGCTAATCGTTTTGCTGACGGATTAGCGAACTATGTTTTCTCTCAACCCCTAGGATCTCATTTATTGGAAGTTAGGTTGGATTTCGTTAATCATATTGTTTTAGAGGATTTTAGTGGAACTGCGTTTCCATGGGATGTTCGTTTGTAGTTTTGTAAATTTTTTTTAATAAATTGGGAGAGACATTTGTTTCTCCTTTTCCTACCAAAAAAAAAGAATGTAACTCAAAAATGATTCTTGAACACGAGTGTGACTCGCCAAGCGCATACCAAATTTCAGATCATATCATATGTCCAAACTACAAACTTGAAAGCCACACTTATTTTCTCAAAATTTGTTCAAAAGTATGATTTACTAAATTGGATTCTCTGCCTATTTTTGGTATAGCTATGCTAGGGTTAGTACAATGTTATTATGCGTTCTCTGCTAAAAGTAAAAAACAGCTATCTTGTCAAAACAAATGACTGTTTTGGTGATAGGTTAAATCGAATATCCGGAGACGAAAAAGCAATAATTTATTCCATTATTATTATATATTTCAATTTCACATCGAATTGGAAAACTTAAAGAAAGTGAAGAAGAGGGGACCAGACAGGAACTGGGGTGATAGAGTTTGGTCCATGGCTCTGTCCTTGAGCCCATTGGTCACGTGGCGAGGAGTGTCTTACTGGTGCACTTTTATGAAACAATCATGAGTATCACGTGACGTACCACTGGGGCTATTGGTCCACCTCAACCAAAGGAGTGTCCGCATTTTTCTCTGTCTAGTTTTCAGTGCCGGCTCAAGCATATAATAGGTCCTAGGAAAAAAACAAAAACTAGACCCCTATTATATATATATAAAAAATATGTACAAAAATAAAACAACAAAAAAATATCTTATTTTGGAAATACATTTGTTAGTGAATAAGTTGAATTATGATCCGATAAATTTGGTATTCGACTCGGATATTATATATTTAACTTGGATCGGATTATAAATAACCAAACACTTTCATCAGATATTCCATATATAACAATATAGATTTGGTTAAGATTTAAAAATTCTGATTTTCATATCATATTTGTTTGATATTTTAACTGTTTTGAATACGGGTTAAATCC